AGAGAGGGTAGGGAGGGGGGGAGAGAGATAAGGGGGAGGGAGGGAGGGAGAGATAGGGGGGAGAGGGGGTGGGGGTGAGGGTGAGAGAGAGAGGGGGGTAAGAGTGAGAGGGGGGCAAGGGAGAGAGAGGGGGGTTGAGAGAGGGGGGATGAGGGGGGGGAGGGGGGTTGAGATGAGAAAGAGGGGGGTGAGAGAGAGGGAGGGTGAGAGAGAGGGAGGGTGAAAGGGTGGGGGAGGGGAGAGGGGGGGGGGTGGGGGGAGGGTGAAAGGGGGGGGGGGGTGAGAGGGAGAGAGAGACTTGGGTATGTCTGCTACTCATAATTCTGGCCCCAGGCTGCTGTCTTGTAGGCTCAGGAAGTCAAGATGTAGAGCTGCTGCGTGTTCTGTATATTTAAATCTCAAGCCTTCATAGCCCCTTTCACAGGAGTGGAGGAAGATCATCCTTCATCCACACACAGCATCATCTCTGTATCTTCCCAGTTGGGGACACAGTAGAATGAATGGGAGATCAGGGCTGCAGAGCTGGGGCAGTGATCCCGGTGGCCGCTGAGCGGAAGGGTGGGGCAGTGATCTCGGTGAGGGAGCGGAGGGGTGGGGCAGTGATCCCGGTGAGCGGAGGGGGTGGGGCAGTGCTCCCGGTGAGCGGAGGGGTGGGGGCAGTGCTCCCAATGGCCGGTGAGTGGAGGGGTGGGGTTTGTAATGCATTGGACTGCTGAGAAGAGCACCATGAACAGAGACCACTCTGCAGGAATGTTTGCTAGAGTATGAACAGTGCTCCGCAATGGGTAGAGGTGCAGTGACAAAGCCTCTCATGGGGCCCCCTGACCGAATGTATGGAACATGTACTAGCCGGGCCCCCTTTTTAATTGATGAGGCCCGGGCCCCGTACAGGAGGCCCAGTGGTACCCCCTTATCGGCGGCCCTAGCAGTAGGTAAAAGGAAGGTGTGAAAGGTGTGAAATTTTTGCGTGATCACGTGTACTCTATTCCAAGAAGTACAGAGAACTCCGCAAAACCTAAATAGATGTAGCATGTTCCCTCGCTCAATTATGTGGCAAAAAAAAAAACAAAACATTTTTTATATATATATATATATATATATATATATACAGTTGTGTTCAAAATAATAGCAGTCAGACATCACTAACCTGATCAATCACTGTTTTTGGTAGAAATAATATTTCCACATGGCAAATAATTTACTAGCAGGTGCAGTAGAGTAATAGAAATCCAACAGACCCAACAATCATGACATGCATGCTGCTGATTCTGTGTAATTGAATCACTCATTGAAAAGGGCATGTTCAAAATAATAGCAGTGTGGAGTTCTATTAGTGAGGTCATTCATTCTTTGAAAAACAGGTGGCAATTATTGCCCTTATTAAAGAAAGGAAGGCAGCAAATGTTGTACATGCTGGTTACAGTGCATTTCTCTCTGAAATTCTGAGGAAAATGGTTCGTTCCAGACATTGTTCAGAAGAACAGCGTACCTTGATTAAAAAGTTGATTGGAGAGGGGAAAACATATAAAGAAGTGCATAAAATGATAGGCTGCTCATCTAAAATGATCGCAAATGCTTTAAAATGGCAACCATAACCTGAAAGACGTGGAAGAAAGCGAAAAACTACCATTCAAATGGATAGAAGAATAGCCAAAATGGCAAGGACTCAGCCAACAATTAGCTCCAGGAAGATCAAAGAAGATCTAAGGTTACCTGTGAGTACTGTTACAATTAGAAGATGCCTATGTGAAGCCAAGCTATCTGCAAGAAGCCCCCCAGAGTCCCACTGTTGAAAAAAAGACGCGCTGAAGAGGTTACAATTTGCCAAAGAGCACATTGACTGGCCTAAGGAGAAATGGCGCAACATTTTGTGGACTGATGAAAGTAAGATTGTTCTTTTTGGGTCTAGTGGCCGGAGACAGTTTGTCAGACGACCCCCAAACACTGAATTCAAGCCACAGTACACTGTGAAGACAGTGAAGCATGGTTGCGCAAGCATCATGATATGGGGATGTTTCTGATACTACGGTGTTGGGCCTATTTATCGCATACCAGGGATCATGGATCAGTTTGAATACATCAGAATACTTGAAGAGGTCATGCTGCCTTATGCTGAAGAGGAAATGCCCTTGAAATGGGTGTTCCAACAAGACAACGACCCCAAACACATCAGTAAACGTGCAACATCTTGGTTCCAGACCAACAAGATTGACGTTATGGGGTGGCCAGCCCAATCCCCGAATCTTAATCCAATAGAAAACTTGTGGGGTGACATCACAAATGCAGTTTCTGAGGCAAAACCAAGAAATAGAGAAGAACTGTGGAATGTAGTCCAATCATCCTGGGCTGGAATACCTGTTCACAGGTGCCAGAAGTTGGTTGACTCCATGCAACACAGATGTACAGCAGTTCTCAGAAACAGTGGTTATACAACTAAATATTAATTAAGTGATTCAAAGGAAAGCAAAATCTTCAAACATTTTTCAGTTTATATAGTGAATGTTTGAGTTTGTAAAGACGAACACAAAAACACAGCTATTTTTTTGAACAGTCTACTATTCACTTTTCTTCAATTTTGTTTAGAGGAACAACACAAATTTGATATATTTTTCTTCACGTTTTGATTTGGAATAGAATGTGTAGTGTTCCCAATGCATTTGTGTGTATAGAAATAAAAGCTATTAGAAGGATTTTGAGCTTTATTCACTTTTTTCAACACACTGCTATTATTTTGAACACAACTGTATATATATGTAAATACACACACACACACACACACATATACATATATATATATATATACACACACACACACTTGCATACATATACACAAATGCATATACATTGCTCCAAAAAAATTAAAGGGACACTTTGAAAACCACGTCAGATCTCAATGGGGAAAAATATCATGCTGCATATTTATACCGATATGTACTGCGTAATGTGTTAGGAATGTAAGGATGCCCCATAGTTTGATGGAAATGAAAATTATCAACCTACAGAGGACTGAATTCAAAGACACCCTGAAAATCAAAGTGAAAAAATTATGCAGCAGGCTAGTCCATCTTGCTGAAATTTCATTGCAGCAACTCAAAATGGTACTCAGTAGTTTGTATGGCCCCCACGTACTTGTATGCATGCTCCTAATGAGACGACGGATAACGTCCTGGGGTATTTCCTCCCAGATCTGGACCAGGGCATCACTGAGCTCCTGGACAGTCTGAGGTGCAACCGAGCGGTGTCGGATGGACTGAAACATGATATCCCAGAGGTGTTCTATTGGATTTAGGTCATACAAGCGTGGGGGCCATTCAATGGTATCAATTCCTTCATCCTCCAGGAGGACCCCAGGACCCACTGCACCAGCATAGGGTCCGACAATGGGTCCAAGGATTTCATCCCAATACCTAATGGCAGTCAGGGTGCCATTGTCTAGCCTGTAGAGGTCTGTGCATCCCTCCATGGATATGCCTCCCCAGACCATCACTGATCCACCACCAAAAGGTCATGTTGAACGATGTTACGGGCAGCATAACGTTCTCCACGGCTTCTCCAGACACTTTTATGTCTGTCACATGTCCTCAGCGTGAACTTACTCTCATCTCTGAAAAGCACAGGGCGCCAGTGGTGGACCTGCCAATTCTGGTGTTAAATGGCAAATGCCAATCGAGCTCTATGGACATCGGGCCCTCAGGCCCCCCTCATGAAGTCTGTTTCTGATTGTTTGGTCAGAGACATTCACACCAGCGGCCTGCTGCAGGTACTTTTTTAGGGCTCTGGCTGTGCTCATCCTGTTTCTCTTTGCACAAAGGAGACACCGATGCTGCTGATGGGTTAAGGACCTTCTACGGCCCTGTCCAGCTCTCCTAGAGTAACTGCCTGTCTCCTGGAATCTCCTCCATCTTCTTGAGACTGTGCTGGGAAACACAGCAAACCTCTGGCAATGGCACATATTGATGTGCCATCCTGAAGTAGTTGGGACTGCCTGTGCAACCTCTGTAGGGTCCAGGTATCACCTCATGCTACCAGTAGTGACACTGACCCTAGCCAAATGCCAAACTAGCAAAAAACAATTAGAAAAGAGGAGTAGGAAAAAAATGTCAGTGGCCTCCACCTGTAAAACCATTCCTGTTTTAGGGGATCGTCACATGGTTGCCCATCTAGTGCTCCTGCTGTTAATTTCATTAACACCAAAGCAGCTGAAACTGATTAACAACCCCCTCTGCTACTTCACTGACCAGATCAATATCCCAGGAGTTTAATTGACTTGATGCTATACGCCGATTAAAAAGTGTTCCTTTAATTTTTTTGAGCAGTGTATAAAACACTATATTGCCAAAAGTATTGGGATGCCTGCCTTTACACGCACATGAACATTAATGGCATCCCAGTCTTAGTCCGTAGGGTTCAATATTGAGTTGGCCCACCCTTTGCAGCTATAACAGCTTCAGCTCTTCTGGGAAGGCTGTCTACAAGGTTTAGGAGTGAATCTATGGGAATGTTTGACCATCTATCCAAAAGCACATTTGTGAGGTCAGTGTTTTATTGGGTTAAGGTCAGGACTCTGCAGGCCAGTAGGACTCGCCCATCCATGTCTTTATGGACCTTGCTTTGGAGACTGGTGCACAGTCGTATTGGAAGAGGAAGGGGCCATCCCCAAACTGTTCCCACAAAGTTGGGAGCCTGAAATTGTCCAAAATGTCTTGGTATGGTGAAAGCTTAAGAGTTCCCTTGACTGGAACTAAGGAATCAAGCCCAACCCCTGAAAAAACAACCCTACACCATAATCCCCCCTTCACCAAACTTTACACTTGGCACAATGCAGTCAGGCAAGTACCGTTTCTTGGCAACCGCCAAACCCAGAAACGTCCATCACATTGCCAGATAAAGAAACGTGATTGGTCACTACAGAGAACACATCTCCACTGCTCTAGAGTCCAGTGGCAGCATGATTTACACCACTGCATCCGACGCTTTGTATTGCACTTGGCAATGTACATCTTGGATGCAGCTGCACAGCCACAGAAACCCATTCCATGAAGCTCTCTATGCACAGTTGTTGGGCTAATCTGAAGGCCACATGGAGTTTGGAGGTCTTTAGCTATTGACTCTTGGCGACTTCTGCACACTGTGCACTTCAGCATGTACTGAACCCACTCTGTCATTTTACGTGGCCTACCACTTTGTGGCTGAGTTGCTGTTGTTCCCAGTTGCTTCCACTTTGTTATAATACCACTAACAGTTGACCGTGGAATATTTAGTAGCAAGGAAATTTCACAGATGGACTTATTGCACAGGTAGCAACCTATCACAGTACCATGATTGGATTCAATGAGCTCATGAGAGCGGCCTATTCTTTCACAAATGTTAATAGAAGCAGTCTGCATGCCTAGGTGCTTGATTTTATACACCTGTGGCCATGGAAGTGCTTGGAACCCGAATCCAAGGATTTAGTTGGGTATCCCAATACTTTTGGCAATATATATTGCTTCTAAAACTTCGCCTAGGATTTTTCACCACACCTCTGTAAACATATCAAATGTTTAGATGTAAAGCAATCAAAAAACCAAAAAATTAACAAATTTGTCCAATCCTCAAATGAAATCTCAAACATCCATTAATAAATTATCCACCACTGCAGTGATTCTAGAATTTTCTACTTCCATCCAAGGGTTGCATGCCTCACCCTGTGTTCATACCACACGCTCACCTTCTTTTATTGACCCAAATGTCATATTAAGGTCATAACATTCCTTTGGCCCCTCCATGGGCTATTAGGTATCCGCTCTTCTTTGGGCTTTTATCCTCCACCTGCAGTACTCCACCAGCCTTATTCCACTCTCCGGTAAATGTACATACAAATACAAAACGGGACTAAAAACTCTCCGCATACTCTTATTATTTTCATTAAAATTCCAGTCAAATACACTCACATTAAAAAAGCACCCAAAGTGATTTGTTCACAGCATACGATAGCACAGCTTATGGTAAATACATCCACATCTTCATGGAGGCCGCTTCCTACGAAAGTGGTTGGGGACACTGGAAGTGGTAAGGGACACTGGAAGTGGTCAACTCGGAGGCGCGGCCACCCCTCTGGACCTAATGCGACAGTCACTGACACAAGGTCCAGAAGTCTGGAGACATAAAGCCTCTCATCTACCCATTAGGTAGGGTATTCCTCCATACCTCACAACCTCGCCACCCTCAGCCCATGTAACTGTCAAAAACACTTCTCCAAACCCATGTATGCCTTCCTTTCCCTCACCAACTAAATGGTGGGGAAACAGGGAGACCTCTTAAAAATTAGTTATGAAACAATTGAGATCAAACTCAATGTTGAGTCCTCTCCCAAATAATACCTTAGTTTTATAAATCCAAAAGGCTTTTCCCCTATTTAGCTATCTCATATTCCCCCCCCCCCCTCCAATGCTTCTCAACCTTCTCTATTGCCCAAAATTTAAGGCCACTCATGTTCTTATTATCACATTCTCTGAAGTGTTTTGATACTGAGTGAGTTCTAACTTCCTTTTGAATACGAATATGTTCCCTTACACGTACTTGTAATTGTTTAGATGTACACCCTACGTATTGTTTCTGACAGGGACATTCCAACATGTATACTACTCCCTCAGTTTTACAAGTAATGAAATCCTTTAGATTGTATTCACTACCCGTTACTTGTGCTACACGTTCTACCCTTTTTTTCTCATTCACTTTTGTAACCTTATAGCCCCTGCATCCTCCACATTTATAAAAAACCTTTCAACCACGGGGTCAATGTTCCCTCCTGTTTCCTTGAGAGAGGTTTAAAAAGTCCCAGAGCTAACATATTCCGTGATGTCGGTGCTTTCCTATGTGAACAAAGGACGAGATCGACGAATAGGAACCAGTGTTTTATCCATTAGTAAAATGCCCCAATATTTCCTAAAAATCTTTTCTATGTCTTTATATTGGATATTACTGGAGAGTTGAATAGGGCTGATGGAGTATTGGAGGTGGAGGATAAAAGCCCAGAGGAGAGCGGATACCTAATAGACCATGGTGGAGCCAAAGGCATGTTATGACCTTAATACGACATTGGGGTCAATAAAAAAAGGTGAGCATGTGGTATGAACACAGGGTGAAGAATGCAACACTTGGATGGAAGTAGAAAATTCTAGGATCACTGCATAGTGGTGGAGGATTTATTTATGGACATCTGAGATATTAATTTGAGGTTTTGACAATTATTATATATTTTTTTTGTTTTTTTGATTGTGCTACATCTAAAAGTTTGATGTGTCCCCTCTCTCAGCACCATACCTCCAACAAGTTTCAGGCACAGTGGGATAAATACAGTGCAGCAGTGTTGGGGTGCGGGACCGCCAGGTTATGATTTTATATCCCGGTCTTGAAAATGTTTGCATACAGATGATTTAAAGTAGATGATCAAGATCTTTCTCTGCTCTGCCAGGGTCCAGCATAGTTGGAATTCATTTTCCCATTTGCCTAGACCCAAAATGGGGTCTGCGAAGATTCTGTGAGTAACAGTATGTAAAATAGGAAAAGATCAGGTCTGGAAATCTCGCCAACCCAGCACTGCTTTTCATAGGTAGTCAACAGTCTCGTAAAGGAAGAGTGCATCAACTGAGAAAGTTGAAGTGTTTGAAAATAACCTAGGTCAAAGAGGTTTTGGTCTAGGCGCATCTGAGGGCCATAAGCCAATTGGAGTCTTTGATAAAATGTGTGGCAGAATACATTTCTTGGTGGCATAGAGGCAGAAAAGCCAGTCAGGACATTTGTGCGGTAAAGTTTGGGTTGCCCAAAATTTGATAGTAAGAGGCCAAAGCTGGGGAGATACCATAGATGCAAAAGGCCCTAGAACGAATTTGCCAGGTGGCTGCTGCAGTGGGATGTTGAAGCACTGTGGGCAAGGGAAGCGTGGGACTCCAAGGAAGAACAGCCAAAGGCAAAAGCAATGCTGCTTGTTCCATGGTGACCCATTGTTTCAACTTCGAGGTCCTGCACCAGTCTAATACTCTGGTTCAATGAGTTGTGGTTTGATTAAGGCAGGCATCTGGAAGAGCCATATTGTTATCTGCCTTACACCTATGCAAGATAGAATGTTTAACAAAAGCCAGTCTGAAGTTCCAGACAAAGCTACTGAGTGGACAACTTTTTAACTTTAAATTTCTATGGATACAAATCAATAGAAATCACTGACTGGTTCCTATATGACACAGCAGTTTATCTACTCCTGACTTACACTAATATATGAACATTATTCAGTGAGGAATAGAAGTCCTTTTTAATAGTCTGTAAGTTTTGCTTTGTGCTCATACCTGCAATCGTAAAAATTCAGAGCAAACAATAGTGTAGAGCGTGGGAAGAAAAAAAAAATCAATATTCTTGTAAAATACTCGTTTGTGCTAGTGGAATAAAAAGCCATCTGGATATTCAGAAAACTTACCAGTACCAGTAATAGCTGTAACCTTCTGAGTTTTTCTCAGCTTTTTAGCAATTTCTTTTAAGAGTGTCTCAATGTTGTCACATGGCCCTTCCAGTTCATAATGCTGCACATATCTGAAAAAAATAATAAACAGTGCACAGAGTAATTGCTAGCTTGGTCCACTACCTTACCACAAACCAAGATACGCTCGTGCCATTCATTCATCTCTAGAAAGTGGGTGTATTACAGTGCGACGTGTATGGCAAAAAAATGCAACAGGAGCTATTTTTTCACGTCTTGCGATGCATTGACACGCTGTTCATTTTTAACCACTTGCCTTCCAAAGGATTTACCCCCCCTTCCTGACTATGCCATTTTTTTTCAATACGCCACTGTGTTACTTTTTTGACAATTGTGCAGTCAGGTAACGCTGCATCCAAATTAAATTTATGTCCTTTTTTTCCCCCACAAATGGAGCATTCGGTGGTAATTGATTGCCTGTGAGGTTTTTATTTTTTTGTGCTATAAACAAAAAAAGACCAATAATTAAAAAAAAAAAAAAAAAAAAAAACTATTTTTGACTTTTTGCTATAAAACAGTGAAAAAATGTAAAGAATCAAATTTCGTCATCAATTTAGACCAAAATGCATTCTGGTACATGTCTTTGCTAAAAAAAAATCCCAATACCTGTAAATTAATTGGTTTATGTGAAAGTTATAGTGTCTGCACATGGCAGTGTATATATCTTGGAATTTTTATTTACTTATTTATTTTTCTACTAGTAATGGCGGCGATCAGTGACTTATAGCAGGACTGCAGCGGGCATTCTGACACTGGGGGGGGGGATTGACTGTGTTACTGACATCCCCAGTGACACTAATACAGGGATCAGTGCTAGTAAAATGCACTAACACTGTACTAATGACACTGGGCAGGAAGGGGTTAACATCTGGGGCGATCAAAGGCTTAACTGTGTGCTGTGTGTTTTACCGTGTTCTGTGCTTTACTATGCAAGCACACTGCTTTCTATGGCTCTGCTATGCAGAGCCATAGAAAGCAGCGTTTTGGAACTGAGAGGGAGAGATCTGTATTGTTTACATACAGACCTCTTCCCCATCAGCGATACTCGGCGATCCCTGGGTGCCAGCGGGAATCACCGTCCGGGACCTGGAGATCGAGAGCTGAAGCCGTCAATGGCGGCGTGGGTAGGGCTTGCGCGACGAAATACAAAATCATGTATAACTATACACGTGATTTTGTGCAGCCCTGCCACTCTGTAGCAGTAGTTTTACTACAGGACGGTCGGGAAGCAATTAATAGGCTCCCTAATGCAACAACCCTAAACATACAAAAATGCACTGTGTTCTGGTTTTAATAGGCCCTAAATACAAAAGCCACAATTACTTATTAAGGAAGTCAGGAGTTCTTGCCTTCTGTCACACAAATATGTCAACAGGTAGAATCTAATAAGTTTCCAAAACTATGCTGATGTTTTTAAAGATAATTTAAAGTGTAATGTACCGTAAAGCTTGGGCTTTTTCCGTTTTGGATAGAGTAGAATGGGTAAAACTAATTTTTTTTGTTGTTGTCTAGGCCCCATTAGGGAAACCTCACTTCACTTCCTGTCCAAAAGGCACAACAGGAAGTGAGAAAAAATCTCTACAAAGTAGAAGGGAAGTACCATCTGTCACAATCATGCACACAGAGATGGGCGCGGTCATCCATTCTGCTCCAAACATCTACATTTTGGTATCTCTCCCCAAAACACATCAGTCTCTCCCTCCTCCGATTTCCCCCCTCCCTCAGGAATGCAAGCAGCGTATGATGCTGAGCCCTGCATAACAATTCTTCTGCCTAAAAAGGTAGTGAAGATACGAGTTGATGTTGTGTAGAAAAAAGAAGTGTTTCTTTTGTGTTCAGTCAGACAAGTGAGGACCGTCTTAGATAGAACATCTATCGGACAGAAAGCAAAGGAGAATCTCGCGACAACAACAAAACCCAATGCGAGACCAGAAATCCCTTTTTTAGCTCATCAGACTTGAAACTGCTTAACTCCAGGCATTTATTTGACAAGTACTTATTTACCTAAACTTCTTTCTGTTATCTCTTTGCTGTGCTGTTGTGCTCTGTATATTTATATATACAGTTGTGTTCAAATTAATAGCAGTCAGACATCACTAACCTGATCAATCACTGTTTTTGGTAGAAATTATATTTCTACATGGCAAATAATTTACTAACAGGTGTAATAGAGTAATAGAAATCCAATAGACCCAACAGTCATGACAAGCATGCTGCTGATTCTGTGTAATTGAATCACTAATTGAAAGGGGCATGTTCAAAATAATAGCAGTGTGGAGTTCTATTAGTGAGGTCATTCATTCTTTGAAAAACAGGTGGCAATTATTGCTTTTATTTAAGGAAGGAAGGCGGCAAATGTTGTACATGCTGGTTACAGTGCATTTCTCTCTGAAATTCTGAGGAAAATGATTTGTTCCAGACATTGTACAGCGTACCTTGACTAAAAAATTGATTGGAGAAGGTAAAACATATAAAGAAGTGCATTAAATGATAGGCTGCTCAGCTAAAATGATTGCAAATGCTTTAAAATGGCAACCAAAACCTTTTTGGGTCTAGTAGCCGGAGACAGTTTGTCAGACGACCCCCAAACACTGAATTCAAGCCACAGTACACTGTGAAGACAGTGAAGCATGGTTGCGCAAGCATCATGATATGGGGATGTTTCTCATGCTATGGTGTTGGGCCTATTTATTGCATACCAGGGATCATGGATCAGTTTGAATACATCAGAATACTTGAAGAGGTCATGCTGCCTTATGCTGAAGAAGAAATGCCCTTGAAATGGGTGCTCCAACAAGACAACGACCCCAAACACATCAGTAAACGTGCAACATCTTGGTTCCAGACCAACAAGATTGACGTTATGGAGTGGCCAGCCCAATCCCCGAATCTTAATCCAATAGAAAACGTGTGGGGTGACATCAAAAATGCAGTTCTGAGGCAAAACCAAGAAATAGAGAAGAACTGTGGAATGTAGTCCAATCATCCTGGGCTGGAATACCTGTTCACAGGTGCCAGACGTTGGTTGACTCCATGCAACACAGATGTACAGCAGTTCTCAGGAACAGTGGTTATACAACTAAATATTAAGTGATTCAAAGGAAAGCAAAATCTTCAAACATTTTTCAGTTTATATAGTGAATGTTTGAGTTTGTAAAGACGAACACAAACACAGCTTTTTTTTTGAACAGTATAATATTCACTTTTCTTCAATTTTGTTAGAGGAACAACACAAATTTGATATATTTTTCTTCATGTTTTGATTTGGAATAGAATGTGTAGTGTTCCCAATGCATTTGTGTGTATGGAAATAAAAGCTATTAGAAGGATTTTGAGCTTTATTCACTTTTTTCAACACACTGCTATTATTTTGAACACAACTGTATATCTTAGTTAAATTTTTTCTGTAAATATTTTTATTGCACCCATTTGACCTTTTAGTAATAAATCTTTCTTTCTGAAAGTGTTGAACTGTTTTTATAGCTCTGTATTGCAATTTACGAATTTCTGCCTCAAAAGAGACGCTGCTGTGTTTGTTTAACCCTCTGCATAATCGGCTTGCGATGACCGTATTGTGCGGACGATTATTTCAACCATTGTAGTGTTTTAGCTGATAGCGCCGAGTTTCCGCTTTCTCTGTACCAAAAGGAGGTGGTGGCAGTGTGAAGGGTTAATTGCGTAATTAACCTGACCCAGTAACAATCCCTCAGGCTGCCGGTACATTGTTCTGTGCTCCATTAGCTGGAAAATTGTTGTGCAGGGTACAGCTGGGTGTGGCATTGTTACGCACGTGACAGCACGGTTTTAGATTGGCTAGTCGTTCGGTCCCGAGTTTAGTGAGAAGGGCTGGGGTCTGACGCCGCGTCCGTCACACCACCTAATGACATTGTCAATAGAATAGGTGTTCCTATTGTTCTAGTGACAACTATAAAATTTTTGATTTCCCATTACTTCTGTCTTGGTGAGGTTGTCATCAGAGCAAAAAGAGACAGACAGCAATAAAAAAAACTGATAGGGGTTTTACACGTTAATAAAAAACTAAGAAAAAGTTTTGGCTATAAATACAATTTATGTTTTATATTCTATTTATATTCAATTAGTCTAAACAAGCAGATATCCCTCTCAGCCTGAGGCTGAAGAAGCAGCAAAGTTGCTTTGTAATGCCCAGCTCCATTGCTCAATAGTGATCCCAGGTGACTCCCCAGTGCATCCAGTACCTTCTTCCCTTTGCCGATGACCAAGGCAAGGCTCCCAGGTTGCCCTTCTGTCCTCTGTTGTTCCAGAGGCTGCCTGATTGTCATGCTGAGCTTTCTTTCTACAATTGTGAATGTATTTAATACTTTTTAATAAAGGTTTTTCTCTACACGCTATACGTGGATGTTGCACTTCTCCCTTGCCTCTTGTCTTTATACTAAAAACAATTTTGAGCCCGGCCCTACCGTGGAAATGGACCAGAACTGGAGCAAGCATCTTGGTGAATACTCATGGAATTGAGTATAGGGTTAGTGTAAGCACCCTGAACTGAAACGGTCAGTCTCCCAAAATGGAGTGCAGAAAATGCTGATGACCTGGAAAACGAAATCGTGAACATATGGCCTGTGATGCAGAAGCTCCTGAACCTCTGAGGGTGTCCAAAAATAGAATGAATGCCTTATTTGAGTCCGGGAAACATGAATAAAAATATGAACACCTCGTGGGTAATGTCCCTTGGTATAGCAGACCATGGAGAGTGGTATGAATATCTCCAAGACATGGAGGGGACCATGGAAGGTTTATGGATAGAAATTGAACAGAAGGAAGTGAGCAAAAGTTTATTTTGTAACCCTGGAAAACTACCTTGGTAACCCCATGCATGAGCGTCTGTTAACACCAAGAGTCATCCCCCCATGTTTCTGCTGCACAGGACTTCACTGCAAACTTGAAACTCTTGGCCTGCCAAAGCTCTTTCAGGAACAGGAGGCATAAGACCTGGATGGATGCACTTCATACCGTGGAAGGAAGGGGCCGATTTGTGTGGTTGAATCTCATCTTCCAATCCTGAAAAGATATTCTCTCAACCCCCAAAAGGTTATTCGATGAGATAGTCCAGCGAAGCCCTTAACAACTTGTCTCTTATGAAATAAAGCACATTTTAAAGTTTGATCTGCCAACAAACACATTTAGCTAGAGCATTCTCTGTATCTGGACTGACAGGATACTGATGCAAGACAGCACATGACTAGTATCCAGCACTGCATTGCAAAAACAAAATTATGGCTAGGGTCAACTCCTCAGTACATCTGACAAATTGCTGGTTAGCATCTGTAGTAGAAAAATCTCTGCGCAATGATTTAGGCCAAACCCATAGGCCTCTGAGTCAGCAAAGCCAGTACTAATGAAGACTGAAAGGTCAATCCTCACAAAGAATTCTTTAAATGGAATAGGGACTCTAACCACTTATTTGTGGGATCCTTGAAAAATCCTGCACAAGAGTGGTTGCAGCCCTGATAAATGGGAGCACCAGAAGGTTCCATTCCCAAAAGGATTTATGCACTTTTGCATTTAGAAGCTTTTTAAAAGATAACCTCAGGAGACCTTCCCAAATGCCCAGAATTCACAGAAAAATAGTAAATTCACTAAAAAAGGCTACTAAAATACCGCAGGAGTTATTTTATCAAGTCATGCGGTATTTTAGTAGTGAAAAGCATGCATTAATGTTTCAGCTGTCAGCGGGATTCCCACTGACAGCTGAATGTAAAAGAAAGAATTGCCAGCAATGAAAAAACAGGGGCGGGGTCACATACATGATGGCCCCGCCCCTTACATATTTAAGAACTGCCAAACCAGTTTCTGAGCAGACAGGCGGGGGCCAGCGATGGTGGAGGAGCGTTTCTCTATTCTTCGGAGCGGCGGCAGCGGACATCGTGATTGACGTTGGATCTACTTTTCTTAAAAGGACTCGTCAAAGAATGACTCCTGTCTTTTTTTCAACACTACAGCTTTTTTTTTTTGTGAATGGGTAGCGGTACCATGTAACCCATACTCATTCACGTGGGGGGGGCGGGATCTGGGGGCCCCCTTGCTAAAGAGAGCTTCCAGATTGCGATAAGCCCCCCGCCCGTAGACCCCCACAACCATCGGCCAAGGGTTGTGGGGAAGAGGCCCTTGTCCCCATCAACATGGGGACAAGGTGCTTTGGGGGGAGCTCCCCCTACTCCAAAGCACCCCCCCATGTTAAGGGCATGTGGCCTGGTATGGTTCAGGGAAGGGTTTGCTCCCCCCCTTTCCTGACCTGCTGTGCTGCATGCTTGGATAGGGGTCTGTTGTGGATTTTGAGGGGGAACTCCACGGCATTTTTTTTTTTTTGGCGTGGTGCTTCCCTTCAAGATCCATACCAGACCCAAAGAGCTTGGTATGGATGGGAGGGTGGACCCTACGCCATGTTTTATAATTATTTTTTAATTGCGGGCAATTCTTTCTTTTACATTCAGCTGTCAGTGGGAACCCCGCTGAAACATGATGCATGCTTTTCACTACTAAAATTCCACATGACTTGATAAAATCATACAGTATTTTAGTAGCCTTTTTTAGTGGATTCAAATGGGTTTTTTAAAAAAAATGCTATGCGGTATCCTACCATACTCAGATGCGGTAGTATACTGCTTAGTGAATTGTGCCCTGGATATGGAACGGTAAAAAAACGCTTCTAAACGCAAATGCTTATAAACGTGGTAAGCCGCATTTACACGCATTTGGCGCTTGAAACGCTGATAAAATCTACTCCTGAACACAAGTTTGCTGCGTTAAAAAAAACAACTGTAAACTCAACTGCCTGTAAACAACAGAGTACATGGACACATAGGAAAACATTAGGGAGAGTTCAGGGGCTGCTGAAAAAAAAAACCGCAGAAAAGCTCCTGAACGTGAGTTTATCAGATGCAGTGTACATGAGCCCTTTTCAAGCCTCATCACTTAGCAATGGCAGAGAGTCTGGCAACTTAGTCCTCCTCAAGTTGTTGCAGGGATTTCAAAGTAACCCATAGGTCTACATCAGAGAGCCCACAAAGGGTGAGACAGGGCCCTTAATACCTTTCTTCACAGGTTTAGCAATATTGCAGATGAACTAAGTAAAGTGTGACATCAACACTTCAATACATATAGTAAAAACTTCCACTGTGATAACATCAGGGCCCAAAACACCAGACGGGAAGAAAGAGTGTTCAGATACACAGGCTAAGGCTGATCACTTAGGCAGGAATTTACAAGTATCAGAAAGGGCAATGTCCCTCTTTAAAAGGAAACTATACACTTCAAAGGCAGCAAGACCAAACCCCTCCTATGTCCTAAAACAGAGAAAGTTCCCCTTTAAACGCAGAGCCAGGCATGCTGGCAACTAACAAAGGACTGTTTAGAAGCAGTACAAGCCCACTCAGAATGGCGAGTTCCAATGGATTTCCAAGGGATTTGTGGAACCAGACTGGGGCAGTCAGGCTCATGCACAAGCACTGCTTTAGCCCCAGGAGCATTAAAGTGAAGGTAACCCCCTTTCTGGCAGCTTTATCACACATAGCAGTGAGTCTCCAAAGACAGGATTAGTACTTGCTGCAACTGCCCCGGCCCTGGAAAGTGCATCTGAAGTGACCTTTTACCATTGCAGTCAGACACTAGTAACAGAGCCTAGTACCAGGTACTTACATGGGTGTACTGCAGTGATCAACCTGCAAAATTGTCTGTGCTCAGTGGATAAATTGATAGACTATCCAGGAGTAGAAAGGTCTGTAGTGAATCTACCAGCAACTGTTGACTTAAGAACGACATCATGAAATTACAAAAACAACAGAGCTGGAAAAAGATACTCATCCTGCTAGACATACCAAGCTAAATTATGGCATGGCTGCTGAAGGAGGGGTTAGTAAACTAAAGCTAGCCTACAGTATTTTCCATGCTCCTTCAATGGATGATATAGAAAGTAAAGCTACACTTTATGTTTTAAACAGATTCTTTGATGGGATTTAGTTGATTGACTTTTTACCTAATTTTTAGGTTACCGAGAAGTAACAATAAGGGAATATAATTACTGCGTTTTCCATTCTCACCTGTGTTGGGGGTAATTATTTAGGGTATAAAGAAGATAATCCGCAATGATATCCTCTCCCACCAAATGATCAAGAATTGTTCCTTTGAAGAAAAAAAAAAAAAGAAAAGATATTTAACTTTAGCCTCTTACAAAGAGCCTATAAAACAAAATTTACAGACTTCTATTCTGCAGTGAAAATCCCAGTGTATGATCAGACTTTACACAATGATTTATTCTGGTCTTGGAAGTAATATTCACAAAAATCATGGAAGACCTTCCTCCATAAACCTATGCTTACAGCATATCTAGGTATGGTCAATATGTAAAATCATTCATTCACTTCCACACTGAATTTCAATTATTTCTAGTCTACTTCAATTAATCTGAATGATCTAAAAGTTTGTAAATTTACTTTGTGAAGAACCCACACATATTTACTTCCTTCTTACTTCCCACTTCTGCGACCCATAGTCACTATGCCCTGTGATTAGGCACTGCTGTGGTACACATTTCACAAGAGCCTGTCTTCTGAACTACGGAGGTGCTAGGAGGAGGAGTTTCAGAAGGTGCAGTCAGTATAGGAATCAATGGTTGCAGGCAGTAAGGTACCATGGGATATGTAGCCCTTAGAAATCAAAATTGAAAAGCAGAGGAGAAGCTGCAAAGCATGCAGGGAATCCAGGAAGTCGTGTGAAAAGATGGTCAGCAGACAGGCAGAACTCACAACATGAAAGGATATTTTTCAAGTAAGCAACGCCAATGTTATAAAATGAAAGTGTATGCAGACCATAGATTTCCTTTAATGTTTCCCTCATTTAAACATAACAGATACAGTGGCAAAAATAATTATTCTATCTTTGCAGATTTTGTAAGTTTGCTCACTTACAAAGAAATGAAGGGTCTAAAATTTCTATCATAGGTGTATTTTAAATGATATAGACAGAACATCAACCAAAAATCCAGAAAAAAAAAACACATGATACAAATGTTATAAATTGAGTTGCAGTTCAGTGAGTAAAATAAGTTTTTGATCCCCTACAAACCAATAATTCAGGCTCCTACAGACTGGCTATCTGCTCATGTGTTACACAGATTAGTCCTGTCAACTTAAGAAGGTGCTCCTAATGACAACTCATTATGTGTATAAAAGACACCTGTCCACAAAATCTCTTTCTTCTATTCAAACTTCACCACCATGGGCAAGACCAAAGAGCTGTCAAAGAACATCAGGGACAAGACTGTAGACCTGCCCACGGCTGGAATGGTCTACAAGACCATCAGCAAGAAGCTTGGTAAGAAGGCGACAACTGTTGGAGCGATTATTCGCAAACGGAAAAAAATACAAAATAACCACCAATCGCCCTCGGTCTGAAGCTCCATGCAAGACTTCGCATCATGGGGTAAGGATGATCATAAGAAAAGTGAGGGATCAGCCCAGAACTACACGGGGAGAGCTTGAATGATCTCAAGGCAGTTGGGACCACAGTCACAAAACAAGCCACTGGTAACACAATTCGTAGCCATGGATTGAAATACTGCAGCACCCGCAAGGTCCCCCTCCTCAAGAAGGCACATGTACAGGCCCGTCTGTAATTTGCCAATGAACATCTTAATGATTCAGAGAAGGATTAGGAGAGAGTGCTGTGGTCAGATGAGACCAAAATTGAGCTCTTTGGCATTAACTCAACTTGCCGTGTTTGGAGGAAGAAAAATGCTATGACCCTAAGAACACCATCCCTACAGTCAAGCATGGAGGTGAAAACATTGTGCTTTGTGGCTGTTTCTGAGCTAAAGGTACAGGCCGACTTTGCAGAATTGAGGGGCCAATGAATGGGGCCATGTATTGTAAAATCTTGGATGAGAACCATCTTCCCTTAACCACAACAGTGAAGATGGGTTGTGGATGGGTCTTTCAGCATGACAATGACCAAAAGCATACCTCCAAGGCAACAAAGGAGTGGCTCAAGAAAAAGCACAAAAGGGTCATGGAGTGGCCTTGAGACCTTAATCCTATAGAACATTTATGGAGGGAGCTGAAACTTTGAGTTGACAAGCCACAGCCAAGAGACCTTAAGGATTTAGAGAAGATCTGTAAAGAAGAGTGGACAGAAATCTCTCCTGAGATGTGAGCAAACCTGGCAACCAACTACAAGAAGCTTCTTAACTTTGTGCAAACAAGGGTTTCTCCATCAAGTACTAAGTCATGTTTTGCTTGGGAATCAAATACTTGTTTTACTCACTGAACTGCAACTCAATTTAGAATATTTGTATCATGTGTTTTTTTCAGGATTTTGGATGATATTCTGAATCTATCAAATAAAATACACCTATGATAAAAATTATAGACCATTCATTTCTTTGTAAGTGGGGAAGCGTACAAAATCTGCAGGGGATCAATTATTTTCCCCACTGTATCTCATATTTTTTCTTTACCAAACAAACCATAGTCCATGCTTGGAAAACCCTGTCCCTTTATCAGAGCTTTTTGCTGTGCAATCTGCTGCTACCATTTTCTGACTACAATACATATAATACAATCATTCTATGGATTCCAGTCTAGTTAAACAGCATCAACATCGTGATGAAGGAGGAGTGTGTAAGTTTAAATTAATACCCTTTCTGTATTAGGCGAATATTAGTGTGATGTTTTCACTGCTTTGCTTACCTTTTTGGATGCCTGAAACATGGCGGCTGCTACAAAACGTGTTTCATAAGTTGCTATCTCCAAGACATCATTCTTGCTTTAACATTTTGAGATTCTCTAACTTGGGCTTGGCAAAGGACTACTGAAGTGTCAGGTAACCTTACCTTATACTATGGGGAGATTTACTAAAACCGGTGCAATTAGAATCTGGTACAGCTGTGCATGGTAGCCAATCAGCTGTTAACTTTAGCTTGTTAAATTAAGCTTTGACAATACAACCTGGAAGCTGATTGGTTTATATGCAGAGCTGCACCAGATTTTGCACCATGCATTTTTAGTAGATAACCCAGTGTAACTTAATAGCTAGTCTTTTTATGGTACTTTTGTAGAACCGTTTAATAAAAGCATTGGTTTACCCCGGCACTCAAATTATACTACAACATAGAACATGTGCAGTGCTCATCTCTGCACACAATTATATGAAGCTTATTTGTCTGTTAGACATTTCCAACTCAGCAACGACTTCTGTTCTACAAAATGGCATAAATGGTAAGAAAACATTGGCATTAACTTGGTGAAGCGGTAAGGGTACAAAAGCTCTCTCCCACCAGCTTATCAAACTGACAGACAGTATTCAAAAAGAGGATTAATTTTGTTTGTACTGGCTGTTTATTATTTAATGTTTAAAGGGTTAGTTCACCTTTAGCAAAAACTGGTAATGCAGATAAGGGGCGTCTGTAGATAATACCAAACAGTGCAGCTTTGACCAAAGTAAAGTAATGCCCTTGCTATAGGTGTTGGCCATTTACATAACTCATCAAGCCTGAATGAAAACTCCTAGGACATTGCTAGGAGACTCCTAGCTGTTACTGTTTACTTTCACCATCACACGAGTGAGCTCTCAAATGCTGAGCTCAGAGCTACTGAATCAGGAGGGAGAAAAGGCAGGTAAGGAGATTTGAATCAGAGAAAAAGCTAATTTATGTGATGGTGAACAGTAACAACTAGGAACTAGCAAAGTCCTAGGAGTTTTCAGATCAGGTTCATGGAGTACAAAAATGGCCTACACCTATAGAAAGGGCAATATTCAACTTTGGTCAAAGCTGCACAATTTGGTTTTATCTACAGATAACCCTTGACTGCATAAGCATTTTTCTTATAAAGGTTAACACCGCCTTTAAGTCTGTGACTTAATACTGTACTTAAAAATGTGATGTGTTATGACATAGTTTCAGAACAAACATTGTTTTACCACATAGCGCCAATTTCATTCCTGTCTCAACATTCTCAATACGTGGGGAGAGAACACCAGGTGTGTCCAAGAGGTAGATTAAAGGATTTTCAGATACCTGCACAGGTATATAAAAAAAGTAATGAGACATCCCTCTTTTTATCAGAACTACAAACAAAATCAGGAATACAAAAGCAATAAAAGTGAGCTCTCTTAAAAGGTAAGCAGCTGAACATCCAAGGAAACCAAATAAAACCTTGTCAAAAATCGCATAAAAATATAATGTGCAGCGCTAATCAACAAATAGTGGTATCATATAATATATCATAAAATATGTCCCCAATAATGAAAACAGCCAGTTTTGAATATGAATATATAGTGATATACAGCTTCCAGTCCAGTGGTGGTGCTCCCTGTGTTAAGGTAAAAAGTGCGCACTAACCAGAAGCGTAATAAGATTATGCAGTGTATAAATCATACAGGTCCACTTCACTGGTCTGGGTCCGGACTGGAACTCAAGTTGGGTTCTCCTTCGGGTTGGTATAGGTAAATAGCCCTCAGTAGGTGTAGGTAGATCCAGTAGGCCAGAGGTCCCCTTTAAGGGATAGGTGGGTGGAAGATTCCTGAATTACAGGTGCTTCCCTCTCTGGGTCTGGTGGACTGGTGGCTGGATCACAGCAGGGCTCTGAAAATAATGAAGCTCCAGATCCTCTGCTCCCGCAGCAGCTGGCGGTCACTTGCACTCCAGTAAGGAACTGTTTCTCCGAGTCCTCACATCCAGTGAAGGACTGTGAGCTCTTCATTGAACTTGATGTCATCAAAGAACTGGAGGTAGTGATATAATGAGAGCTCTGCTTCACTCACAGCCTGACAGTCGCACTCCGATGACGTCACCTGCACACGGCGACCCAGAGCTCTGCAGGAGCAGGGGATCTAGAGCTTTATTATTTTCAGAGCCCTGCTGTGATCCAGTCACCAGTCCACCAGACCCAGAGAGGGAAGCACCTGTATTTCTGGAATCTTCATCCACTTATCCCTTAAAGGGGACCTCTGGCCTACTGGATCTACCTACACCTACTGAGGGCTATTTACCTATACCAACCCGAAGGAGAACCCACCTTGAGTCCCAGTCTGGACCCAGACCAGTGAAGTGGACCTTTATGATTTATACACTGCGTAATCTTATTACGCTTCTGGTTAGTGCACAATTTTTACCTTAACACAGGGAGCACCACCACTGGACTGGACTGGAAGCTGTATATCACTATATATTCATATAAAAACTGTCATTGGCTGTTTTCATTATTGGGGACATATTTTATGATATGTTATATGATACCACTATTTGTTGATTAGCACTGCACATATATATTTTTATACAAACAAAATCAATTAGCATTTATTAAACTGGACTTAAAGTGGCTGTTAGGCTCCATGCACACGGGGTGTTTTGATAACGCTGGTAACGTTAGCTGTGTAAAGTCACGTTAAAAATATGAGTTTTTCAGCGTTTTTGCGCTAGCATTTTGGCGCGATTAGCACCGGTTCCCTGCGTTTTTCCGTCGTTAGTGTTTTTAGCGGGTTTTCTTTGGTTAAAAAAAGTTCCAAACCGCCGGTTTGCGGCGGTTTACTGCGTTTTTCAGTGTTAGAGAGTTTTTACAGCTAAAAAACTCCTCTAGAAACCAGTGTGTGATATCAGATCCCTGCCCCCTGGAAACCGAGAAAATTCATCTGATCTGTGTTTTTTTGTATTTCAATGGTTTTTATTAATTTTAAACAGTATAAAACAGAGGCAACAAAACACGCCCACGCAGGGGCTATCAATTGCACCGATAGAAAATGTATAATAGAGCAGACAACGCTCTAATTCCAATAAGGCAAAACGCATGCCCGCGCAGGGGCTATCAATGGCACATAGGTTACAATAACATCAGTGAAACTCAGATTATTGCAACTAAAGACAGCTGTCCACTGTCACATCAAAACAAACAGAAAAGGAAAGAAGAAAAGCAGAGAAGAAAGAAAGAGAAAAAACAAAAACAAAAACACACACCAGAGAGCAAGGGTCCATGAGCGCCAATACAAAACTCCATCACCTCCCTACACTGGCCGGGGGGAGCGTGGGAAAGGCATATTGCAACCACGGTTCCCATATTTTCAAAAATTTATGTTGAGAGTCATTGCATATACTCGACATCTGTTCATTGAGCATCATAGTAGTCATACGATCCCGCACCCCCTGAAAAAGTACAAACGGACTCTTCCAGGCCTGGGCAATTGTCCTAGTGGCCGATAAAAACAAATAGGAAGCCAATCGCTGCTGACGAGCCAAGAGGCCCGGTATGGGGCAATGAAGCAAAGCATACCGAGCATCCCGGCGTATGGAGAGATGAAACAAAGTGAAAAGGAGGCCAAACACACGAGACCAAAAACGAACCAACCTCGGGCATGACCACCAGATATGCAGTACATCTCCACGATGGCCACAGCCCCGAAAACATCGATCACTACAGGCAGGGTTAGCCTGGGCCAAACGAGCCGGCACCCAATACCAACGAAACAATACCTTATAGGCTGCTTCCAGCGTGGTCGTATTAAACGAACATTTAGCTATGAGTGACCAGGCTTTATTCCAGTCCTCCGGATCCACAGCCACTCCCAGGTCACGTTCCCACTGAACTACATATGAAAGAGAAGTGTGCGACGAGCATCTGTTCAAAGCTGCGTAAAGAAGGGAGATAAGGCCCGGGGCGCCCGGACACTGCTGGCAAAGCCGTTCAAAGGCAGATGTCTGATATGGGAAAGCAGAAGTGGCCCTCAGCGAGAGTAGCCAGTGCCGCAATTGAAGGTACCGAAAAAATTCCGCTGGGGGAACATCCCGAGACTCCCGGAGGACATTCCAGGTGGGAAAGGACCGAAAAATCAAAAAGTGTCGCACCTGTGAGAAACCATGAGCCACCCACCAAGAAAATGCCCTCGGGTGATCTAGACCCGGTGGGAAAAGAGGGTTATTAACGATTGGAAGCAAGGGCAAGAAAGGTGACATCAGGCCACTGGAGTAACGTACCGAGTCCCAGACTCGTAGGCCATGGAGCAACATCGGACTCAGCACCGTAGGGCGCAGGGCAGGGGGAAGCCATAGAAGTGTCGATAGTGCGATAGGGGCACAATTAGGCAGTTCCAGCAGGACCCAGAGAGGAACATCGGAGGAAGCGTGCAACATAGACAGCGGGGCAATTTGGCTCGCCTGATAATACTTAGTTACATTGGGTACCCCAAGACCACCTTGGAGTCTATGAGCAAAGAGCGTATTTCTAGAAACTCTGGGATGCTTATTGGCCCAGATAAAACGCATAAACTTCGCCTGAAGCAACCGAAGAAAATGAGGGGGAACTTGCACTGGGAGGGTGCGAAAATAATATAACAATTTCGGCAAGATGGTCATTTTCACTGAATGAACCCGTCCTATCCAAGACAGGTGCGGAAATTGCCAGGAATGCATAAGAGAGATAAGGAGCTAAGCAAAGGATAATAATTTGCAGCAAAAAGGGAGTCATAGGTGGGGGTCAAGCGAATGCCCAAGTATTCAAGAGAAGAGGAAGCCCACCGGTAAGGGAAGTGGGATTGTAGGCGCGAAACCAAATCTGAAGCCAAAGTAATATTGAGAGCAACGGTTTTATCCAAATTAATACGTAGACCCGAGATCAAGGAAAAGCGCTCAAGAACCCGTTGCAAATTAGGAAGCGTCGTCAGAGGATTAGTAAGGGTCAAGAGGGCATCGTCCGCAAAGAGGTTCAGCTTAAACTCCTGTCCCGCGTATGGAACCCCCGATACATTGCAGTCGGTCCGGAGCGCTAAAGCCAGTGGCTCAAGCGCCAGGACAAAGAGCGCCGGGGACAGCGGGCAGCCCTGCCTCGTCCCTCGCCCAACAGGAAAGGGATCCGAGAAATACCCAGCGTATTTAACGGAAGCCGAAGGAAAGGAATACAAGGCTTGAATCCAAGAGAGAATAGAATCCCCGAAACCCCAGCGAGACAGCACAAACCGCAGATATTCCCAGGATAGAGAATCAAAAGCTTTATATATGTCCAAGGACAGTAAGAATCCTGGGATTTTCCGTTGTTGCAGAAAATGTATAAGATGGACCACCTTACGGACATTATCACCCGCCTGCCTCCCGGGATCTGTGTTTTTTTGGAGGCTGTAGAGGAGTGAGGGCTACAGGTAAACAGGTACAGCTTATGTTGGGAGGATTTGCTTTATAACTGTATCGCCTAAAGCTAATCACTATAGCGTGCATATGTAAGGGTTTATTGTCACTTTAGGGTAAACTGAGGGTCTTTAAATGCCTCAAAGAACAGGTTTCATTAAACAACACCAATGACTCCACAAGCAGAAACAAAAAGGTTTTCAGGAGTAAAAGGTTGTCCATATATGCTCTACTCTACGGCATCGGTGGGCTGAAAATGTGAGGGGTCACATGTATTACCACGCCACTGACATGTCCAGAGCGCAACACAATAGCTGTGTTTTTATGCATTTGCTATTATTTATTAGGATTAGGGATGCACCAAAGCATATTGGTTGAAAATAGCCCTATCAGCATTTTGCTGATAGGAAAAAGTGAGCTACTACAGGTGCCGATAGTGAGACACCTGGCCTCAATGAGGGGCAGACTGACTATTTGGCCGGGGAGTTTGGGGGACTGTGTGTACTGCAGATGGGGGGGGGGGGGGTGGCACGGCGGAGAAAGGCAGGAGAGGAGGAAAGCAGTGTATACAGTGAGAGAGCGGTGTATACAGACAGGATCCCACACGTGCCACCACTGAAAGTCATTGCCGGTTTTTAAACAAAGGGGCAGGGTCACCCAGTGACATTGCCCAGTGACCCCACCCCTTTGTTTACTTTAGCGGAGGGGCGAATGACAGCTCCTCCTCGAAGCTATAAAGTGACAAAAACCCCCCCCCTGGCAATTGCATTTAAAAATCAGCAATGGCATTTAGTGGCGCCAAGTGAGTGAGTCTGTATACACTGCTCCTCTCCTGCCCCCTCCTTGCACACACAGCCAGTCCCCCCCCCCACCCCCCCACCAAAGAGGACCTGCCACTTATATACTATCACATAGGGGACTATTGGTCCCCTATGTGATAGCAATAAATTCGTATGCTAAAAAAAAAAAAAGAAGATAAAAAAACACAAAATTAAAAGAAAAAAAAAAAATACAAAAAAAAAAATTTGAGCCTCCCCACCCCTATATATGCAAACATTTTGGTTTTGGTTTTTGGCCGAAATTTTCAGTTTCGGCACCAGAGTTTTCATTTCGGTGCACCAATTTAGGATGGTATTAATAAGATGTTGAAATAAAAATGTCTTAGCTTTATTTTGGATAAACTGATGCACAACTTCCCCCTAACTGGACTAACTGGATATGTGACAAAGCTACAAAGAAGAAATGTTAATTTTGGAAAGCATTTTTCCCCTTTTGTTACATTGCAGCTCGCACAGGAAGAACATTTTTTGTCTAATTTTGCTGATTTCTGAATTTATGCAGACAATCATTAAAATTTTGAATGACAATTGCAGTCTTATTGCCTTCAAGTATCTAAGAAGTCTAGTGTTTCCCTAAATGCAAATAGATACATTGTATGGTTGTTTATTCTTGGGCCTATGGAGACAGGCATGCTGCAGACACCTCAAGCACTTCCTTTTTAGAGGGAAAACAATAGTGATCAGACAAGATTTTCCAAGCTATCTAAATACTTGTACCAACAAATTGGCCTCAACCCGGTTCCTGGGTAGAGGTGACCTCAGGTGTCTTCTGAACTCACCTCTAACCTGAACTTTGAGCTGCAGGCCAGGTCATTCCCCAACCGTAACTCACATGGGCACAGAAAAGCAAGGGTTCTGGGTTTGCGGAGAGATGACTTCAGAGGATGCCCAAGCTCAACTTTAGTCCTGGAGTCACCTCATGCCTGTGTGTACCTTCAGAGTTACATTGGTTGTAAAGGCTTTGTACCTTAAAACATTTTCTGCATTAAGGTTAAAAAAAACTTTTCCAAGACTGGTTCCCCCTCCAGCGTCCCCCACCCCCAATTACCTAAGTCCAATCACGATCTAACACTGTACCTTAAAGCTGCTTTACTGCTCTCGCACTTTCTGTATTCACTGGACATGATGGCAGCAGTGGCAGTCAATCAAATCCAGTGAGGTGGGAGTGGGGGTAGGGCTTAGCCATGCTCTGTGTCTCTATAGAAACCCAATCCCAGCTCAGAAGTGAGCCCTCAGCATCTACCCTCAAAGCAAGCACTTGCTATGAGGCAGACACTGAAGAGCAGCAAATAGCGGCAGTGGGGGACCCCAGAAGGTTCAGGGCCTCTCTGTGCAATACCATCGCACAGAGCAGGTAAGCTTACATGTTTGATATTTTAATAACAAAAAAAAGAGAAAAAAAAACAAAACAAGACCCAACAACTTTTAGTAACCCTTTACAAATGACTTTTAGACAACTGGGACCAACTGCTCACACTAATTCTCACCTGTATTTTACTCAGCACTGAGCGGGTAATCCCAGGTTCTCCACCAACTCTAGAGGCCTTTCCTAAGTCAATAAAGAGGCAAAGATTAAAATAGTATGTTATCGTTTGCATGGTTTAGCTACTGTATTTACATAAGGAATACAGAAGGCCTGGTACGAGGCCAAGAAAAATACAAATACAACAAATGACGCTAAATATAACATAGAGAACATACCTTTCCTAAGATGCATTCTGCGCAGTGCGTTTATCAGAGATGATTTTCCAACGTTGGGAATTCCAGTTACCATGATGCAGATGTCTGGATTCTGCAACAGTTATTAAATATGTAAATTATAAGTTAGCTTACAGTAAAATTCAACAACTGAAAAAATAATAATGATAATGTAGAAATATGAATTAGTGAACCAACACACAACTGTGTGCAATGCATATTCATGCAATTTCATTTTACTGAATATTCCAATACATGCCAAAAACCTGTACTTCTCTGCCACTGACCTCGGCTCTGTGGAATCGGGGATAACATTCAATGCACTGTGTAATTGCTGGAACAATCTAAATAAAAACCCAAAATTAAGAGAAACTTCCTTTATTTCATGAGAAAACTGTTCACAAAAGTCAAACTACTAAATAGTTAACCAACAATGAACATAAAAATGAAAAAAATAAATAAATAAAAATCTTTGAAAACCATTATACCCATGCACATAACACAGGAATGACTGAAGAGTCATACTTAGAAGCCATCCAATCAGATTTTTTTTATACCTGGTTAAAAGAAAAAAGCTGAAATAAGCAAAAGACTATGAAATTAAAATGTTTTACAAACTCCCAAGGTTAGCAACCCTGTCAAATTTTGATTGCGGTCTACGTCCCTGGTGGGTGATCCACCTTTCTATTTGGAGGAAACATTGGTAAGATTTCATTTTCTTTCATTTTCTGTTATGTCTATTGAACAAGAAATGAAGGGGTTTTAATCCTTCTCTACTATATTTAAAAAAAAAAAGGGCTATAGAAAGATTTAAAACTTTTGTTTTGTTTTAAAAATATACATATGTATGTTTGCAGGAGCAAATTGGATCATGCTTTGCTGGGTTTATTTGCCTTCTTCTGGATCAACTGTGGGTATAGGATTAGAACTTTTTTTTTTTTTTTTTTTGACTGAACTGGATTGACTTTTGTCTTTTCTTCAGTCAGACTAACTATGTACATTTTCCCTTCACTTTCTGTTCCACAGCCAAACAGGAAGTGAAAGGAAATGCCTGCAAATTAAGGGCATCCATTGGGAACCCCCAGGTTACCAGAACTATTGTCTCCATTGGAAGATTTACCCTCTCTTACTTTTCCGGGGACAACCATAAATTTGGGATTTTCTTGACTTTCACTTCCAATGATAATGGTAAACAGGACAAATAGAGAGAGTGAATCTCCCTAACGGAGACACAGACAATAATAAAATACAAAACATTGAAAAAAAAATAATAAGTATTGCCTTTAGTTATACTGAAAGTGAATAGTTAAAGGGAATAGTTTTATCATTGTGGTTTTACAAACCTTCTATGTATAGTGTGTAATTATATAGAGTATATACATGGGGGTAGCCATGTTTGCTCATTAAATATGCTGCTCTCCAATAGGCTCAATTCTCAAAGAAAACACCAGAATTAGGATACTTTAATTGATGGTTACTTTAAGTTAAAGTGGCTGTAAAGGCAAAAGTTTTTTTTACCTCAAAGCATTCTCTGCATTAAGGTAAAAAAACCTTTCAATGTCAGCTCTCCTCAGCCTCCTCTCTTTAAATACTTACTTGATCTAGAGCTGTGTACATTTGCAGTAGCAGTGCACTTCTCTTCCCCTCTCTCACAGAAGGCTCAACAGCAGCAGAAGCCATTGGCTCCTGCTGCTGTCAATCAAAACCTGTGAACAGAGAGCAGAGGGCGGGGCTGAGCCACAAGGTATGTGTCAACAGATGTACACAGTGGGCTTCAGGATAGGGCCCACAGGAGAGCCCCCACAGCAAGTCTGACTGACAATAGGTTCTCTGTTAGGCTAACATCATATCCAGTCATTATTATAAACCTGTAGCCCCTCTACCAAGTAACCTTACAAATTCAGACTAAACACCTGCAAGGTACCCCAACATCCCCTAGAAACCTGGCACCCTCATTGTACAATCTGTGTGTCAGGGCTCCAGGTATGACCAGAGGTGTGTGGACTGATACAGGGAAACACAGACTTCAGGTATAGCGTGTAACACAATATAATTTATTAAAGACAACACAAACATAAATATGTACAACCAGGTGCAATAAACCTTAAACTAATAGGTACCAGTGCAGTCAGGGCTGGAGAGGGGGAGCGGTCAGGCAGGCCGAGCCCACAGCATGGATTTCCTCAGGGTGCGGGGTCTAAGTCCCAGCCTGCTATTCACCAGGGCCCCTGATGGTGGGGATGGACTTGGTGCAGACTGGAACCAGGTCGCGACCCCTGAGTGCGTCCGGCTGTGGTAGAGAGTGCTGGCAGGGGAGTGCAGGAACACAGGATACCAGGTACATGGGCTCATGGGAAACATACACCAAGGCCCTGATCCCAGGCCTGGTCATTCCTTAAATACACCTCCTGCAATCAGCCCAGGTGTTGGCTGACTACAGGAGTGAGCTTCTGGCTGCTGAGAGCACCCGCTGGTCAGCCCTGGTACTGCAGCCCACACGGCAGGTGAGTCCCACCACCAGTGCTGAGTCCATGCCTGACACTGTGGGTCAAAATATCCTCTTAGAGATGAAAACCTCACAAACAGAAATGCCTTACTGAAATGTTGGACAAACTCTGCAATTGACCAACTACCAAGTTTCATACTGGTTCTGGGATAAAAAACTAAACCAATTCAGCTTCATTAAAACTGATTCAAAACTAGTATGGAGTCCAACAGTCAGATAATCACAGTTTCCAGTCAAACTTTCTCGCACAGGTACTAAGGTCAGGGTTTACTAACATAGGTACATTTATAATTTTTTTTTGCAAAAGGGGTACTTAGACTTTAAATAAGGGCAATAAATAAGAGGATAACATTGCCGAGGAGGCAGCCTTACCTGCTTGATGTTTTCCGCCCGTATGCAGTCAGTGTATATAGTCTTTCCAACTTTCTGCTTGCTCAGCTGTGTGTTGATCCTCTGAATGGGAACATAAAAAAATGAGAATGTCTTTAACGGATAAGTTCACCTATTAGAAAAAAAAATAATAAATGCACCTTTTTTTGCAGGTAAAAAAATGTATATTTATTATTTGTGTCTTATTATAGCAGCCTGGAAAGCATTGTACCAGTGATCAGTAGATTGCTGATGTCATGCAGGTCTCCTGCAGACCTGTCAGAATATCGGCTTGCTGTATTGATGTACAAGCAAGCAGACATTCTAATAGGAAGCTTGCATGAACTAAAACGGCGCTCCACAGTACTGTGGTAGTTCACTGAAAACTACAAGCAGACAGCCACCAAGGCTGTTGGGTCTTGCAGTTCATTAATTCATGGAATGATGCAGCCGTGTGGGCGGAGCCACGCACAGCCACGCTGTTTTTAAATTTGACAGATAGTATAGGGAGACTTTTTTCCCCGTACTATCTGTCAAAAGGAGGGCAGCTGCGGCTATGGGAACATGTTAAACGTTCCTCCCTAACAAAGGGTGGAACATGTAACATGTTCCTAAAGGTGAACATATCCTTTAAGCAAAACATGAAAAAGGTCCCGGGCCAATTAGATTTCCTATGCACTAGACAATGGAATGCTAGTCACGGTATTTTGGACTTTTTATCACTGTCAGGGCTTTGCATATCACTCAAGCTAACCAGACACCTACAAAAAGTGCACTCTCTTTTTCTGAAGGCAGTCTGTGGTGGATTTACTTTGATACTTTGGGTCATTGTCTTGCTGCATCACCCAACTTCTACTAAGATTTAGTTGGTGGACAGCCATCCTGACATTATCCTGTAGAATATTTTCGTAAACCTAGGAATTAATTTTCCCCTCAATGAATGCAAGCGGTCCAGACCCTAGTGCAGTGAACCAAGCCTAAATCATGATGTTCCCTCCACCATACTTCACTGTTGGAAGGATGTTTTCATGTTGGTAAGCTGTGCTTTTTTTATCCCATACATAATGCTCATTATTTTTTCCAATCAATTCAATGTTTGTTTCATCAGTACACAAAACATTTTTCCAGCAGCACTGTGGTTTGCCAAGGTGCTCTTAGGCCAGCTTCAGGCATGCAAGGATTTTTTTTTTTGGAGAGCAGCATCTTCCTCCATGGTGTTCTGCCATGGACACCATGCCTGTCCAAAGACTTACGTATGGTAGACTCATTAACAAAGGTGTTTGGCAGTTCCAGTGATATCTTCAAGCCTTTAGCTGTTACTTGTGGGTTGTTCTTTACATCATTAAAGATTCTGCATTGTGCCTTGGGAGTCATCTTGACGGGGAAAAGTATCCACAATATTTAAACTGTGTTAATTTATAGACAATTTAACTGTTGACTGAGGGATACCTAAAACACTTTCAAATGGCTTCGTATGCTTTTCCAGCCTTATGCAGAATATGTGAAATTTTGGCATTGATATTGCAAATATGACTGATCATGCCAAAAAATGCTCTTTTATTGAAGGATGATGATCATATGAAGCCATTTATTATCAAATAGTTGTTTGACTGCTTTTTAAATCATAATGATAAAAGAAATCACCCAAAATGGCCATAATCAAAAGTTTACATACCCTGGATTGGCCTTGGTACAGACACACAAGGTGACACACACGGGTTAAAATGCCAATTAGAGGTTAATGTCCCACATCTGTGGCTTTTTAAATTGCAATTAGTGTCAGTGTATAAATAGTCAATGAGTTTGTTAGCTCTTACATGGAAGCACTGACTAGGCTATATACTGTTTTTCAACAAATTTGTGTTGTTCCTCTAAAAAAATTGAAGAAAAGTGAATATTAGACTGTTCAAAAAAATATCAGTGTTTGTATTCCTTACAAACGCAAACATTCACTATATAAACTGAAAAAATGTAAAATGTAACAATAGTGAGCGCTCTCCAATAGCAGCTGATACACTCAGATAACCACATAAAACCTTAAATATAGCATAAATAATAATAAAGTGCAGCGCTAGAGAAATAGGTGAAATTATAGTCCCAGAAAGGTTCGGTATAGAGCAATATTGTGAATCGTGCCAACAAGCGTATCCTTATCTTGTGATGATCCGTGTAAGTGATAAAGTTATGCGCTTAACAGAAGCACATAGATAATGCGCATTGATAACTCAAATTAGTGAGGTATGCATCTGGGACATCCGTCTCCAATAGCGCAGCTCAGCAGTGGTTGGTATCTGCTCCAGAGATCTCCTTTATGGGTCAGCAGGGTCAAGCCACCTGGTTACAGGAATTCCCCTCTGATGTTGAAGCGCTTCCCAGATTCTGCATTCTTAAAAGACTCCGTGTACAGAGTCATAGAAAATGCTCATAGCGTAATATTGCCAAGAAATTTTAATTTATTCAAAAACCAAGTTTCACAGTAAAATTGTAAAAAGGTATAAACAGGTACACTGACCAGTAATATGGGTGACCACCGGACCTGAATAAGGCTCCAGTGGTTTAAAAACACAGCGTGCTGACTCCTAAGGCCTTTCGTGCGAATGCACTTCTTCAGAGGAATGTCAACACTGCTGTGTGTACCTTGCCTGCATTTAAATAAGGCAGGGTGCTTGTATTTTCGCACCGCCACCATTTTTTTGAAGATTATGTACTGTGCATGCGCATCGGCGCCATTTTGCCGGTGATCGGCTACTGCACATGCGTGAGCTCATCGGCGCCATTTTGCTGTGGATCTTTAGCATACAAGCAGGATAATTATGTACAGCTATGGTGATACTTGAGCTACATAACCAGGGGCTTACTTCCAGCACGAGGCATGTATATAAAAACGGCATTCTACTGCCAAGTATGCCCTGGATAAGGGTTAAATTATATATATAGATATAGATATACCAAAGTTCCAAGTAAGTCTTTCCAAATTGAAAAAACAGGAAAATGTTGATAAAAAAGGAGTAATTAGAACGCCTCCATATTTTATAAATAATAAAATAATGTAAAATCTGATCATATTAGCCTAAATAAAAGATCCATGTAAAATAGACGTCGACCTAAAAATTAGTATAGAAATGTAGGGCTAAAATAATTATTACTCAAAACGGGTCATGTAATAGTGGTAGAAACGATCCTGTCTGGTCTGGATAGGATATCAGGATAGGCATGAATGTAGCTACTAACCGTAAAATCAAAGCCAATAAGTGTTGTCTTATTCAAGAACAGCTTAAAACCATAGATCCTAAAATATTTCATATAGACTACTTCAAATCCTAGACTAGTATACACATGAAAATGGTAAAACATTTAAATTTTTTTTACCAGAATGGGTATAGTCCTTGTGGGAAACGTTACGATATCCTTAAATATTAACATGTTTCTTAAAACCACATGAAATATCATAGAATAGTATACACATAAAAAGGTAAAAAAAATATAATATTGTATATGATTGTATGTAAAAAATACCCGTGAGTAAGGACATAAAAGGGACAATAAAAAGTAAGCATAATATCTGGGTAATGTTTAACTATTGTCAATAAAACAGCTGAGATCAACCTCTATGTTGTGACCCCTGGGGTATAAGGTGTCCAATTCATAAATCACTTGGTCTCTAATTGGGAGACTGCTCGTGTCTTGTGGGTCCCCCTCCAGTGTGGGGTCACTATGTCAATCCCTATAAACCTGAGAAAGGTAGGGTCCCTGTTGTGATGGATTCTAAAGTGCTTAGAGAGAGAATGTTCCTTGAACCCCCGGTTGACGTTATACACATGTTCGCGGAGACGATCCCTAAGTCTCCTTGTTGTCCTGCAGACATATTGTTTATTGCAAGGGCACGTGAGCATGTAAACAACATACCTGCTGTTGCAGGAGATAAGGTTTTTAATCATGTAAGTTTTACCCGTAGTGTTTGAGGTGAAGGATCCTATTTTCCTTTTCCTACTTGTATTACATGTACAGATCATACATCTATTGCACGGATGGAAGCCACTCAGATTATGGAAAAAAGGCAATGTTTTGGGTGGATCTACGGTATTCGGCGCCAGGCGATGTTTTATAGCCGTCGCCTTCCAAAATATGATCTCTGGTTTTTCCGGGAGGATGTTAGTGAGTACTGGATCTGTTTTTAGAATGTCCCAGTTTTTCTTGATAATACCACTTATAGTCCTATGTTGTATGGAGCATCTGGTAATAAATGGGCAGACACGGGATGATGTTCTTTTCACATTATCAATTAACATTACATCTCTATCCAGGTTTGCCACATCAATCAGAGTGTTCTCAAGAGTTACCTCGTTATATATCCTTTTTCCATAAATCTATTTTTCAAAATCTTAGCCTGCTGGTGGTAGTCATTTATATCCGTACAGTTTCTACGAATCCTGGTAAACTGTCCCTAGTGGTTCAGGTTAGTGGTTATATGTGCTGTGGCATGCTACTATAGTCTCATACATATTTTTAAGGAACCGCATTACTTTCTCACTACTGAGCAATTTTTGGAAACCCAGATTTGGGCTTATATATTCATATATACACAGACTGTATCAAACAGTCAGGATTTTACATATCTACTACCTGGCTGTCCACCCCCATATTCACTTTTTCATCCAGACCTGATCTTACTTCAAGTGAGGAGGAGTCCCCTGATCTTCTGTATGGTAATATTCTTTAGATTTTTACCCTTATTAATCTCATTCAGGTATGATGGTAGCTTCATATTTATGTCTTATATTTATACACTTCTAGAATCACTTACTACTGTGGATACATTTCCATTTTGGGTGGCTATCCAGGAAGGTCATATATCCATCCTTTCATGATGGACAAGCTTATGAGAAGGTAACGGAATAACATATATACCTGGGATGGGGTTGCTTTGCTATTGCATATGGTTAGTGCATATATCCTATTTTTTGTTCCCTCTACTATGATCTTTTTTTCTGGTTTTCCATTTTTAGGAGGTCATTCTATTTACTGCGGTGGTTACCAAAATACTCTTTGAAGAATGCTCCCCTCATGCAGATATTATATGGAAAATATGGAAACCCTTTGATCTAGTAGTTAGGAACTTCATTGCCTTATGTGGATTCCTGATTGCCGAATATTATTAGATCTGGAGACGCCGAATGTTTTTAATTCAGTCATTTTATAAAGATGTGTTTACCATGTCTCTGTCTAACCTCAATATGATCCATGTGATCGAATAAAACTTGTTTGTTAATACTTATATTACTCCGCTTGGATTTTCTAATAACCACTCTGTGTGAGCAGTATTGCACTTGTCATACTGCTATGTTTTATGCTAAATATTTGGGTTTATAAATCCACACTTATTATTAGTGAGACATTTATATGACACATATTTACGTGTCATGTTAGGTGGCTACCCCTCCCCCTTTTTCTCCGATAGTAAATTATTTGCCATGTAGAAATATAATTTCTACCAAAAACAGTGATTGATCAGGTTAGTGATGTCTGACTGCTATTATTTTGAACACAACTGTAAGTACCAAAACAACATTCCAAGCTACTGTTGAAAGCTCTAGGATATAACACCAACAATGCTTACGGTTAATGTCAGTTTGTGAAAGTAATACTATTACAATGTCCCTTTACTATACTTATCTCTTACATTTTGATGAGACAGGTCCATGAGGTCCATTTTGTTGAGTATGAGCAGGTGGGGTTTAATTCCAAGGTGTTCGTTAAAGAAAGGATTTCGACCAGACAAAGGAATGTTTTCTAGTTAAGGAAGGTTAATGTAGTCTGAGCTTATCGAAGGAAAACAAAATACACTTAAGAGCATAAAACACACAACAATTAACCACTTGCCCTTCTGAGGATTTACCCCCCCTTCCCAACCAGGCCTTTTTTTGCTATTTGGCGCTGCACTATTTCAACTGGTAATTGCGCGGTCATGGAATGCTGTACCCAAAGGAAATGTATGTCTTTTTTCACACAAATAGAGCTTTCTTTCGGTGGTTTTGATCACCTGTGTCCTTTTTATTTTTTGCACTATAAATAAAAAAGACCGAAAATTTTGAAAAAAAAAACATTTTTTTTAATTTTGACTATAAAATATATATAGTAAATTTGAAGTTAGTCATAAATTTAGGCCAAAATGTATTTGGTAAAAAAAAAAATCCCAATAAGTGATATTGATTGCTTTGTGTGAAAGTTATAGTGTCGACAAACTATGGTATACAGTAGTTATGTTACAGGAGACCCATTTTCCCATCACGTTCCAGCCCCCCTTTTTGCATGGCCAATATCCCCATTCTTTTCTGGCTAATGTGCCGGACAGGACGCGGTGTGTTTGCAATTTGCATTTCTAAACGACTCTCTTTCTCGCCCCTGAATGTAATTCGTGATCCTGGCGGTAGATACCTTCTGGTGACAGGTGAGATTGAAGGGGAACAGGTAACTTTTCTTACGTATTATGCACCCCAAACCGACCAGGTGGCATTTTTTCCGGTTCCTTCTCCAGATGCTGTCTCCGTGTTTTTCGGTCCTGGATAGAACAAGAGCCCCAGGGGCCCGCCTTTTACGTCCATCTAAGGTGGGGACCAAAATTGGGGAAGTTGCTTCATCAGTTTGATCTGGTTGATGTTTGGCGGGAACTCCATACCACTAGTCGTGATTTTACCTATTATTCTAGTGTTCATTTGACCTATTCTAGGATAGATCACATTTTTGCTCCCTCTCGAAGTGTGCCCTTGTTTAATTACTCCAAAATTTTGGAAGTGGCATGGTGTGATTACTTGCCGGTTATGGCCACCCTCACTTCTATTCTCAAAGTTGCTTTGGTTTATTCTTGGCATCTTAATGAATCGCTCCTCAGTAATCCCTCTGTTTGCCTTGACTTTGAGAAGAGTTCTTCACCATTAACGATGCGGTACACACCTCTTCTCAAATTAATTGGGCCGCCCATAAAGCTTCTATGTGGGGTATATTTATTCAGCTAGCTGCCAGATTTAAGAAGTTTCATATTGTCTCTGCTTTGGCTGTGAGCTGGGGGCTCTCAAAGTCAATTTAGTGGGGGATATGGTTCGGAGCATACAGAGCAATTTCACCTTTGCCTTGCAGTCGCTTTCTCTGCCATATTTGGCAATTAAGCTCAGGGCCTCCATAGCGATGCTTTATAGGGCTAATTATTTACCTTTGTGGTTGAGGGATGTTGATCAGTGGTCCTCTTCTGCATCTTTGTCTTGGATGGGGAGGATCGCATCGTTTAGGCTACGTTCACACTAGCCTTGTGTGCAGGTGGCAGAGAGGCGCTTGGGAAGCGTTTTTACCGCTTCCCAAACGCCTCTGCCAATTCTGCACATTACAGCACATGGTGCTGTTCTAACAGGAGCGTTTGCGTCGCGGCAAAACGGACGCCTCTGGTCGAGTCAGGAGGCTTTGAAGCCTCCTATTCTCGTCTATGGTGCCGCTCCGCAAACGCCCCGGCCGGCGTTTGCGGTGCGGTTGCGGGGTGTTTGCGGAGCGGTAACACCACTCAAATGCATTATAGGCGTTTGTGGGGCGTTATTAACGCTCGGCAAACGCCTAGCAACCGCCGCTAAACCGCGCATGCGGCGTTTGCGGAGCGTTTGCCGAGCGTTAAAATCGCTCCGCAAACACCGGACCAACGCTTGCCAAACGCTATAGGGGCGTTTGGCAAGCGTTGGCAAAACAGCCTAGTGTGAACGAGCTCTTAAGATAGTGGTGCTGCTTAAAATACTTTATTTCCACACCCTACCTATAGTGGTTCCGGCGGCTGACCTCCGTAGATTCCAGAATAAATTAATACGTTTTATATGGGACAATAGAGGCCACAGGGTGCATAGGTGGACACTATATGTTTTGCGTGATTCTGGGGGGTTGGGGGACCCAGATCTTAGGAAATATTTGGCAGCTCAGATCACTCAATTGTCGCAAATTTGTGCTACCTCCTATAGGCCGGATTGGCTGGCGTTGGAGGTGCAAGCTTGTAAACCTCTACCCCTTGATCTCTTAATGTGGATCTCCCCTAAGCAAAGGAGGGCAATTCTTTGCCCCATGCTATCCCACTCCCTGCACCTTTAGGATTTTGTCCGCAAACAAGCGGCTCTCCATTCCTCTAATTCTCCGGTGGCACCTATATTTGACAACCCAGAGTTTCCCCCTTGCCTGCGGCCTCAGGAATTTCGCTGGTGGATAAATAAAGGCTTGTACAGGATGGGACACTTCTTGGGTCACAAGGGGATATTCCCCACTTCCTATTGTATATCACAGTTTGGGATTCCTGTGTCCGAACACTTCGCCTACAGCAAATTCTCTATTTTATCCGTTCCTTACATAGGAATAATCCTGGGGTTCCCACACGATCAGTGTTCGAGAGTAGATGTCTCCGTGGCGGGGTTCGGAGGAGGGGCATCTCGGATCTGTATAGGTTGTTTCTCATCCGGGTAGACTGTCCTATACGTTAGCCTGGGAGAAGGATATAGGTGAGGTTATAGTGGAGAAGGACTTGCAGGACTTAGAGTACATAGGGGCATTATGAATGTTTCTCTTGTGGAGGCGGGTTATAAGGTCCTTTCTTGTTGGTATTTAGCCCCCGATCGCTTAACACGGATGTACCCTGGAACCTCTCCACTTTGTTTTCAGGGGTGTGGGCAACTTGGCACGACATTCCATATCTGGTGGGCGTGTCTCAAGGTCAAAAGATTTTGGATTCGTGTTTACTCCCTGATCTTTACGGTGACCATTATTAATGTTCCTAGGAACCCTAGAGTTGCTCTGCTTCATGAGCCTATTCTAGGTGTCTCCAGGTCTGTTCAGAGCTTATTATATTTTATGTTTTTAGCAGCTAAAATTGCAATTGCTACAGCATGGAAGGGTCCGGTGGTTGATTTGGCGTTGATGAAACGTAAACTTTCTTGGATTATGGTCAATGAGAAATTGGTCAGCATCCTGCGGGACACTTCTGCTAGATTTGAACGGATCTGGAGCCCGTGGATTGATTACCTGCACACTGGGTTTTAATATTGATGAATGCTCTTTTTGAGGTTCTGTGGGGCTGGTCATGTGGGTGGCTCCTATTCTGATCTTTTCTATTTTCTTTTATTTCTCTTTCTGCCCCCTCCCCCCCTTTTTTTTTTTCCTTTTCTCTGTCTTCTCTTTTCCTTTTCTTAGTTGCCTCCCCCCCCCCCTTTTTTTTTTTTTTATTTCTTTATTGATGATTGATCATTTGGCCCTCTGCTGGATTACTGCTCTGTTGCAGGCTATAACCATTTTATGTTGTGTGATGTTTTTTTTTTTTTCTCTATACCAGCTATAGGGGAATTGTAGCTTGTGTGCTTTGATATCTGGGCTCGCCTGGCTGTCCCAGTCTTTTGACCCCTTTTAGTCTGATGGTTTCTTGCTTTGCGGACGTCTACTGCACAGACAGTTTGAGATGCTATAGTATGTTTCCATCTGTATTTTCTATGCATTGATATAAGATGTGTTTGTAACTATGAACCTCGTCTGCGTTGTGAGTTACATTGTGCCTGGAAGGGCCTACAAGGATTGTTATAGAACGGTTTCTTTGTTCTGTTTTTTACAACAATAAAAATATTGAAAACAGAAAAACTTGTGAAAAAAAAAAAAAAAAACTTCCATGGCTCACCTTGCCTCTTAGTAAATTCATTGGGGTGTCTTCTTTCCAATAAGGGGTCATTTGCAGGGGGTGTTTGTACTGCCCTGGGATTTTAGCACCTCAAGAAATGTGATAGGCAGTCAAAGTAAAAGCTGTGTAAATTCCTGTATATATACACACCATAGTTTGTAGATGCTATTCACACATACCAATTAATATACACTTATTGGGATTTTTTTTTTTACTAAAAACATGCAGCAAAATGCATTTTGGCCAAATTTATGACCAACTTTGAGTTTACTATATTCTTTTTATAACTGAAAGTAGAAATTTGTTTTTTTACAAATTTTCGGTCTTTTTTTGTTTATAGCGCAAAAAAAAAACAAAAAACCCAGTGGTCATTAAATACCACCAAAACAATCTCTATTTGTGTGAAAAAAGGACACAAATTTCGATTTAGTACAGCATTGCATGACTGCGCAATTATAAGTTGAAATCGCGCAGTGCCAAATAGAAAAAAATGGCCTGGTCAGGAAGGGGGGTAAATCTTCCAGAGGGCAAGTGGTTAAGCTTCTCTTCCTTTATTTTCACATCTTGTGCTAAGATAACACTCATTCACTATTTTGTACCAGGACAACATAAACAAGAAAGGACTATGAAAACCCTGCCCATCTTCTATTGTCCAAAGAGAGCAAAAAGAGAATCTTGGCTAAAGTTAAGCTGGCCAAACATGAATTGAAATTCAGCATCTTAAACAGGAACCAGATGAATTTCAATCCATCTATGGGCAGGCTGGTTTTACTGAGGTTGATCTATCAATTGACGTCAGTATAACCAGCCTGTTGGGTTTTCATGTGATCATTTCCGCTAGCTATAGCTGGCGGCAGTGATCATTGTATTCTGACAGAGAGGGAACCTCCCACTGTTAGAATACATTAGTGCAGCAGGAGGGATTCCTCCATAAAGAGACATGAGAAGCAACTGCAACTTGTATGTTTCCATTTTAACTTGTGTTATTGATCTATGTAAACGAGGGGCTTTTTTTTAGCAGAAAAATA